TTTTTTTTAATGTTTTTACATGGGGAACAAACCTTCGTACCACCGTAAGACGCAACGCAACGACAAAACGGACCTGCAAAACATACAAATGAAAATGAAAAATGCAGCAGTAGACAGCTCACCACAACAATCCAAAGACACAGCCAAGGTAAAAAATAATTTGTACGCATCATTTCATTATGCTGGTACAACAATAACAACGAGCCACTACCAAAGACCATTTCATGACCCTGCATTTGGTACCAACATTTTCCTCTAAAAATACCAAAGTGAAATCACTCCTTATTTTGGCTCCTCAATTTCTAAACCAAAAGTAAACACCAGAACTTGACTTTTTCTTCCTTTCTTCAAACGTCTCCAACGACAAAAACCCATCCTTTTCTTTCAATCATCTGAAACTGAAATCCAAAAACCCCATATCATCTTTCGAACCAATACACTCTAATCTCCATTATCTTCATTCAACTTTGATTTCTCACTTCAACTACCTTCAACACTCTTCTACCTTCAATACTCTTTCAACAGCTTCGAACCCTCTTCTTTTTTTCAACACAGGTCTTCACCAACCTTTTAAACTTCATCAGACCATCATTAACAGAACCTCGTCTCGAAACTTCAATCAAACTCAACACCTCCAACCGTTTTCCATTTTCGACCAGAAATTTTCATCACCTAATCAAACAAACTCACTTCCGAATCAACCCAGAAATTCCATGGATGAAACCTTAACAAACCCAAACCTCCAAAACTTCTTCCTATTTTCCAAACCATTAACCCTGCTTCTTATTCCGAAAACCAATAACAACAGCCCTGTTTCTTCCCTTCGACCTCCACTCATTAAACCACAACATAAACCACCTACACAAACAACAAACCTTCAAACATGAAACATACTAACTCGAAACCCTTACCCCAAAACTTTGCTCCTTTTCCATCTTCAAATTTTTCCTAACCTGATTCAAATCTCAATACTCTTTAAAACATGTTCCAGAGCCTTAACTCAACCCCATATGATCCCAATCGAGTAACAAAAATCTACTTCGACTTTTCCCCTTCAATAACCTCAAACCCATAAATCTCCAAACATAACCTCCACCCTTTCTTCTTCACCGCTCATAACCCGTTTCCGTCTTCTTTCAAACCGCTATTGAACTACCTAAACAACACAAACACCTCAACAATCTTCAAACTCTCTTCTCTAACCCCAACTTCCAACAGATCCTCTTCACCCATTTAAACTCATCACCATGAAACCTCAATACAAAAAAATAAACCAAGCAGAATAAGCGAAGGAACTTCAGAAGAAACAGAGGGAACGAATACCAAGCCGAGAAGGTTGCAAGCCATTGCTTCTGTTGCCTTCGTTTTTTATTTTTCGTTTACGATGTTTTGATCGATAAAACGAGTTTCAGTGTTGGGTTACCATGGGATTGATTTGATTATAAGCTTCAAAGCCCTTCACAGGGCATCTTCATTTTGTTTTGATTTAATACTTCCCGTTTTTTTTATATCCCTTACATTTTTTTCTCTATTTCTAACATATCCCCCATCTTTTATTTCTATTCTTCTAAAAAAATCTTGTTTTGATTTTTGTGGATTATCCTTGTAAATATTTAAGTTGGTATTTTTGTTCAATGAATTTGCTAAAAAAACTTCACTATGTATTTTGTTAGATTTTACTAAATCTTTTGACTTTGGTCATCTCCTCATTTCAATATCTACTTTGTTTTATTTGTTTTCTCGATTTAATTTTAGGGTCGATGACGAGATTTCCGTAAACCGTTATTGGTCAAATTATTGATAATAACGTTGGATCCGAGACCAACTTTTTTCAAACTTTTCATTTTCGATTTTTATCGATTTTTACTCATTTTGTTCATTTTTATCACTTTTTGGTATATGACGAATTTTAATAATCATTATCGGTCAAATTATTGATAGATGATGGTTTATTCGAGACTATTTCATTTTCTATTCCATTTTCTTTTTTATTTTGATTTTTTGATCGATGAAGTCTTTTAGTCGTAAGCGTCGCGTATCGAAGTTGACAACCTTCTCGATTTCAAATCTATGGGGAATGACCATTGGGGTCATTTTCCTTACTTTGGGATCGTGATAGGCTACCTTCGATTAATCGGCATTATGTTTGCGATTAAGATGAGATCTTATTCTTTCGTGTCCCGGTTCGATTCACTAAACTAGCCACTAACTTTAATTTTCGTTAAATATTATTGTGGATATTATTGTTATATTATCTTTCCATATTATCATATTATTCATTCTCATTCACATATAATCGAAAACATTAATAAACTATCAAAATCCTAAAAGCCGAATTGGTGGACTGTTGTATCATTGGTTATTTACAGGAACCCTAATTTTGAGTCGTACCCGACTTTGCTTAAGGCGCAGTTTAGGACACAATGCACACACACGACTTTCTCTTGGGCTACCTGACAATGAGACCCCTTTATTTCGTGCAATCCTGTGTAAATTACATGTACCCCTCTCCCATTATGATGTATGTTTCGCATTTCTTTGATTATTAGTTTATCTCCTAGGAGCACCCATAGGGACTAGAGCGGATCAAACTATTTTCAAACTAATTCTCGACTCGTCATCGATCCATTTTCAAACCCTTGTAAGTCGAGTGCTCATATGCATTCGCCATCAACCTATTGCACAATTCGACCCTTGATGCATAAGTCAAGTCGGTTTCGTTTCTCAAGCCATGTTCATTACACATTTTGCACGCGATAATAAGTCAAACCCTTGATCCAACGTCATGCGGATTTTCGTAACAAACTATCAATCAATTAACAACTATCCAACCCTTTTCAAGGTGTAAAGAGTAGGTTCAAGTCTTTGATCTTGCTTTCGGTTGTTTGGATGCGAGTTATCTTATTCGTATGTGAGCAATTGACGCCTTTAAATAACATTAACAACTCGACAACGTTCAACCATCCTTCAACTACTCATTCTTCCAAACTCTATTTCAAACTCAAACAACTTTCTTTTCACGATGAAAAAGAGAGGGTTCCAAGTCTTTGGTTCGCTGTCCCGACTACTTGGGTTCGAGAAGCCTTTCTTAAGCTTCAAGTAGTCGTCATCCGATCAACCTCACCCATTCAAACAACCTTCTTTTGCGATGAAAAAGAGAGAGTTCCAAGTCTTTGGTTCGCTCTCCCGATTACTTGGGTTCGAGAAGTATTTCTTAAGCTTCAAGTAATTGTCATCAATTCAACTTCACCCTTTCAAACACAACCTTATTCTTCAAGATGAAAAAGAGAGAGTTCCAAGTCTTTGGTTCACTCTCCCGATTACTTGGGTCCGAGAAGTCTTTCTTAAGCTTCAAGTAATCTTCATTCGTACCCCTTTCAACTCATTCAATCCCGTTTCTCTTTGTGGTCGTTACCACGAACTACGACTGCTCTGATTCTTCATTCTCGTCCGAATGAAGATACGTAGGCACAAGATTGCGATGATCTTGGCGAGCACAATCCCCTCCATCTTCCGTTTCCCCCATCCTTTCCCGTAGTCGAACTACGAGAGCTCTGATTTATCATTCTCGTCCGAATGAGCATACGTAGGCACAAGGGTCCCAATCCTTGGCGAGCACCATATCCTCTAACCATCCCCTTTCCCCTTAGCGTCTTTATCCCTTTATAGTACCATTTTAGTGTTTAGCATTGAGAAGAGAAGAATTAAGCTTAGCTAACATTCATCACAACTCGAATTAAGAGGTTCCCGTTGAGTACAACGGACGTGAGGGATGCTAATACCTTCCCCTCACGTAACCGACTCCCGAACCCAGGAATATGGTTGCGACGACCGTGTTCCTTCCGCTTCTATGAGGTTTTCTCGATATTTTCCTCTCCCGTTCATTCGGGAAAAATAAAGTTCTGTGGCGACTCTGTCGAACCGTATTTCCGCGCCTTTTGCGCGAGGGTCGTATGTTCGAATGAATTTTTGAGGTGCGACAAATGAGAATAAATCTTTTTAATTGATCGCTCATCTCGTCACTTGAGTGATTCAATCACTCCTTAGTTGCAAGATGATTCTTCCGCACAATGATTTGAGAAGAAAAGAAATCGTGAAAGTGAATTGGGGAAGAAAAGAGAAATTAGGGTTTTAGGAAAAAAGAAAGAAGATGGATCAAATTCTGCAGAGTTTCTCTCTGCATTTATTCTTACTAAATTTCTCTTGTTCAACAACTACTTACAATAATAAGGTACCTCCTTATTTGTAAATGATATTACTTGCACATCAAGTAATATCTAACTAACTAACAAAATAAAACAAATGTTAAGTTTAACTATGTCGAGGTTAACTCCTTCGACATCTATCTACTTTGACTACTATTAAATACAATTGACTTTAACCCTGTCAAATCTTTAAGCAAACTTAACACAAAGAATTTTATATTTAACAAGATTTCGGTGATGAATGTGTTTTACGAGGAATCAAAATAAAATTATATGAGATTTTTAAAACTCATTATAAGGGTAAAATACCTATTAACCTTTATAAAAATTCAATTCTATAACCTAATAGAAACTAACATTAAAGAAGAATAAATGAAGAAAATTTTATATTAAAAAATTTAAACATTAACAATATATATCATAGAAAAATAAATGGAAAAAGTTCTAAATTCTAAAAAAAAAAAATTTAAATGGTATTTTAGAAATTTCAAAAGCACTAAAAATGGTGGAGAAAAGAATTTTATGAATAAACCCCGAGTTCCTATTCACGACATCATATTCCTTAACAAAGTAATTCTCCGCGGCGACGGAGGAGTACGCAAGCGGAGAAGCCATCATCTTCCAGAACAACCGAACATTACTCAGCCTTCCCGCGTCAAAGCCAAACACTCCATTTCCCTTCCTCGACCACTCTCTCCCATACCTCCGGAGAGCAGCATTAGGTAACTCAACCACCCCATATATTCACCTTCTCCCTTCCAAGTCATTCTTTATCTTGCCATCAAAGCTTCTCAAATGTTACCTTTTCATAAGCTATCTCACCACATTTCACAATTACAAGCATTGGTTTCTTCATTCCACAAATCAATAACATCACTACAAAACCCACTTATTCCTTTGGAACTTCTAGCAAAAGCACTAGACCAAAACCCTGATATCAAAACCTTGAAAAATCTCCACTCAAAGATTTTTCATCTCAATTCACACCAAAATCCATCTCTAGGGATCAAACTAATGAGGGCATACTCCGCTTGTGGAGAACCCAACTTGACACGCAAGTTGTTTGATGAAATGTGTGAGAGGAATGTTATTTTCTACAATGTCATGATTAGAAGTTATGTGAATAACCACCACTACAATGACGGGCTGTTTGTTTTTAATGACATGGTTAATGGAGGGTTTAGACCTGATAATTATACATACCCTTGTGTTCTTAAGGCTTGCTCTTGCTCTGAAAATTTGAGCTATGGGCTGCTGATTCATGGAGCTGTGTTAAAGGTTCGGATGGATTTGAATTTGTTTGTTGGTAATGGTCTTATTGCTATGTATGGGAAATGTGGATGCTTGGTTGAGGCGCGGCGTGTGTTTGATGAAATGTTGTGTAGAGATGTTGTTTCGTGGAACTCGCTGGTTGCGGGGTATGCGCAAAATATAAGGTTTGATGATGCGTTGGAGATTTGTAGGGAAATGGAGGATTTAGGACAAAGACCGGATGCTGGTACGATGGCTAGTCTCATGCCAGCTGTAGCGAACACTTCGGTGGAGAATGTTTTGTATGTTGAGAAGATTTTTGTGAATTTGGAGAGGAAGAATTTGATATCGTGGAATGTGATGATAAGAGTTTATATGAAAAATTCTATGCCCAGAAATGCTGTGGATTTGTATTTGCAAATGGAGAAAAGTGGATTGAAACCGGATGCAATCACATGTGCTAGTGTACTTCCAGCATGTGGGGATCTTTCGGCATTGTTGTTGGGAAGGAGGATTCATGAATACATTGAGAGGAAGAAATTACGTCCAAATTTGCTACTGGAAAATTCTTTGATCGACATGTACGCTAGGTGCGGATGTTTAGAAGATGCAAAAAGAGTGTTTGACAGAATGAAGTTCCGCGATGTTGCTTCATGGACTTCATTAATATCTTCTTACGGTATGACTGGGCAAGGATGTAATGCTGTGGAACTCTTCACAGAAATGCTAAATTCAGGCCAAACTCCAGATTCTATTGCATTCGTTGCAATTCTCTCCGCTTGTAGTCATTCAGGATTATTGGATGAAGGGAAGTTTTACTTTAAACAGATGACAAATGATTTTAGAATAACACCAAGAATCGAACACTATGCTTGTTTGGTTGATCTATTAGGACGTGCCGGCCATGTAGACGAGGCCTATAATTTTATCAAACAAATGCCAATTGAGCCAAATGAAAGAGTTTGGGGGACACTTCTTAGCTCTTGCAGGGTATATTCAAACATGGATATTGGACTTTTAGTAGCTGACAACCTACTTCAATTAGCTCCTGAGCAATCCGGTTACTATGTTTTGTTATCTAATATTTATGCCAAGGCTGGTAGATGGAAAGAAGTAACGGATATCCGATTAGTAATGAAGAGAAGAAAAATTCGGAAAACTCCTGGCATCAGTAATGTTGAGCTAAACAATCAAGTTCATACATTTCTTGCAGGCGACACATTGCATCCACAGTCAACGGAAATATATGAAGAGCTAAGTGTGCTGATGGGGAAAATGAAAGAGTTAGGATATGTGCCTGAGACTGATTCAGCACTTCATGATGTGGAGGAGGAGGATAAGGAATACCATCTAGCTGTTCACAGTGAAAAGTTAGCTATTGTGTTTGCACTTTTAAATACACAAGAGTCTCAAATCAGAATTACCAAAAACCTTCGTGTTTGTGGAGATTGTCACATTGCTGCAAAGTTAATCTCCAAAATAGTTGAACGTGAAATTATTGTTAGAGATACTAATAGATTCCACCACTTCAAGGATGGTGTTTGCTCTTGTGGTGATTATTGGTGAGGGTTCTGATGAAAATTTAAACAGAACTCAGCGGCCGTGGTGGAATAGCAGAACCTATGCTATCAGTACAAGCATCCTGCAATCCTTGTAATGCTGGTAGGAGCACGTTTGTAAAGTCAATGAAAGGGGATATTTTGCAAAGAGAGAATTCTCAAAGATGATTATTGTCAGCCACTTGTTCTAAAATGAAGCACTGCTGTAAATATGCATACTGGTGAATGTTGGCGATCAAGTCAGCGCATTTTTTACTTGAGAATAAGACTATTTCTACAACTACTTGTCCAGGGCTTGAGCCCCTACTGTGTTTTGGTAAAACTGTATACATATGCATTACTACATTTTTTTCTTCTCTTTTTTAGTTGTTGTTTGAAGGTTATTTTACTCACACTAAGAACACCAATAAGTTTGGTTACTTTTGAAGAAATTGTTTGTCTTTTGGTATAATATTCTTTATTTATCATTTATGTTCACTTGTTTTTCTCTTCGCCATAAATAGTTGGGATAACTTTGAGATCAATAATAGAAAATCAACAGAATTTTAAAAAATAACACATGGAGTATTTAAGAACAGTCAATCAAACTACCATATGAAACTGCCTGGTTAACAAAAAAGGGAACGGTGCGTTTTTTATTCATATTAACTTCTTGCTAAGTTGGAGAGAATTGTTAACAACTCATTTACTCTTTCATGACTTGTCATTCCCTAATGAATATTATACCATGTTACAATTTGACAAGTATGTTTCGCTGATTTTTAACTTCATTAAGCCTCAACTTTGTGTTTATTTTGTTAATTTTTTTTTCATAGCTGGGAGATGTTCAATGTTATAAACTTATAATGACTATTTTTACAAATTGAGATTTGAGACTCTGAAAACTAACTTGAAAAAGGCGAGTGGATTGTGAAAGGCGTTTGGTTCAGTGAAGCATGAGAAGGAAGCAAGTTAAGAGCCAATGTTACTTCAATGTTACTTGTTGTTCGGGAGCAAGTTTTCAATTTATTTTTATTTCTTTAGTTAAATTCTATAAACACATGTTTATGTCATATATTGTCTGTTGTGGGACTTTCTATTATGCAGTGAAAAGAAAATACTACTTTGCTCAAGATCAATGTTCTTGTTCCATTGAGGAAATTGACAAGGTTAGTGAAAATAAAAAAGAAAATCAACAAGTGAATTTATTTAAAAGTTACTATTAAGGTGCCGAATTCTTTGATTGATTGTTATTGTAGGTGTGGGGGTGTTGAGATGGGGGTGAAGTTGTTTGAGGTGATGGAGGAAAAGGATGTTGTGAGTTGGAATACTATGGTTGGTGGGTTGGTTAAATGTGGTGATTTTGATGGTGCTTTGAAGGTGTTTGATGAAATGCCGCAGAGAGATAGGATTAGTTGGAATACGATGTTGGATACGTTTGTGAAAGCGGGTGAATTGGATAAGGCTTTTGAATTGTTTGGGAGAATGGGTGAGAGGGATGTTGTTTCTTGGTCTATGATGGTTTATGGTTATTGTAAAAGTGGTGATATGGAAATGGCGAGGATGTTGTTTGATAGGTGTCCTGTGAAGAATTTGGTGTTGTGGACGACGATAATGTCTGGGTATGTTGTGAAGGGGGAGCTGAGGGAGGTGACTAAGTTGTATGATGAAATGGAGGAGGCTGGATTGAGGCCTGATGATGGGTTTTTGATAAGTATTTTATCTGCGTGTGCCGAGTCTGGTATACTTAAGTTGGGGAAGAAAATTCATGATTCAGTTTTGAGGCGTAGGTTTAGATGTAGCACTAAGGTTTTGAATTCCTTCATTGATATGTATGCAAAGTGTGGTTGTTTGGATGACGCATTTCGTGTCTTTAGTGGAATGAATGCGAAGAAAGATTTGGTGTCTTGGAATTCCATGATACATGGGTTTGGCATACATGGACACGGTGACAAAGCAATTGAATTTTTCTCTTCGATGGTACGCGAAGGTTTTGAGCCCGATAGATATACATTCGTTGGCCTTTTATGTGCTTGCACCCATGCAGGCCTTGTTAATGAAGGCCGTACTTACTTTTATTCAATGGAGAGAGTATATGGGATTGTTCCCGACATTAAGCATTACGGTTGCATGATTGACCTTCTCAGCCGAGGTGGTCATCTAAGAGAAGCTTTTAGACTTCTGCGCAGCATGCCTATGGAACCGAATGACATTACATTGGGTACTCTTTTAGGTGGTTGTCGGATGCATAATGAAATTGAACTCGCAAGAGCTGTATGTGAACATCTGTTTAAATTGGTGCCATCAGATCCTGGGAATTTCTCGCTTCTGTCAAATATTTATGCTCAAGCCGGTGATTGGATTAATGTTGCCAACGTGAGGTTGCATATGAAGATGAAAGGAGGTCAAAAGGCTTCCAGGGTTAGTTCCATTGAAGTAGAAGAAGAAGTACATGAATTTACTGTACTTGATCAGTCACACCCTAAATCAGCTGATATATATCATATGATTGATAGATTGGTAGAGGACCTAAGGCAAGTTGAATATGTTCCTGGGATATCATAGATGACTATGATTTGATTACATCACTACGTTACGTACAGCTTAAATGATACCTACAGTCCGAAAAATGAATACCATAATGTAGTTATGCACAATGCTGGTTTACTAAATGTCAAGAAATCGGTATAGCAAAACAAATGTGGTATTCAGCGGCCGTGGTGGAATAGCAGAACCTATGCTATCAGTACAAGCATCCTGCAATCCTTGTATGCTGGTAGGAGCACGTTTGTAAAGTCAATGAAAGGGGATATTTTGCAAAGAGAAAATTCTCAAAGATGATTATTGTCAGCCACTTGTTCTAAAATGAAGCACTGCTGTAAATATGCATACTGGTGGATGTTGGCGATCAAGTCAGCGCATTTTTTACTTGAGAATAAGACTATTTCTACAACTACTTGTCCAGGGCTTGAGCCCTTACTGTGTTTTGGTAAAACTTTATACATATGCATTACTACATTTTTTTTCTTCTCTTTTGTTGTTTGTTAGTTGTTGTTTGAAGGTTATTTTACTCACACTAAGAACACCAATAAGTTTGGTTACTTTTGAAGAAATTGTTTGTCTTTTGGTATAATATTCTTTATTTATCATCTATGTTCACTTGTTTTTCTCTTCGCCATAAATAGTTGGGATAACTTTGAGATCAATAATAGAAAATCAACAGAATTTTAAAAAATAACACATGGAGTATTGAAGAAGTCAATCAAACTACCATATGAAACTGCCTGGTTAACAAAAAAAGGAAACAGTGCGATTTTTGTTCATATTAAGTTGGAGAGAATTGTTAAACGGCAAGCTGGTCGTAGAACAAGAGAGGAAATTTGACGCAGCCTCGAGGAACCCATCATCCAAATTGAGACCAATTATCTTGCTTTTTGTAAAATTCATCTTCAGCCCGGCCACCAGTTCAAACCCCCTTAGTATCACTTTAACGGCCAGAATGTTTTCTCTATTAAAATCCCCCAAGATTACAGTCCGGACACCAGTTCAAATCCCCTTAGCATCACTTTAACGGCCATAATGTTTTCTCTATTAGAATCCTCCAAGATTACAGTATCGTCTGCAAATTGAGATAAAATAAACTGAAACTCTTCAGAAAGAATGAAAGGATGAAATTTTACGGCTGCAATAGAATTCTGCATCAGTCCCCCGCTATGCCTTCTCCTACTTTAAACTTAAACCCCATACATTGTATAATATATCACAAACTTCTATTTTTTTATAGCTTCGTAAATTTTATGTTTGATGATTTGCCTTATTTTACCAGTGATATATTATTTAAAAATGTAAATGGCAATTTTAAAATGAAAATGTGTGGAAAAAAAATCAAACCTGTTTAAATTTAAAATTTAAAAAAAAAACTAATTTTGTGAATAGCTAATCTAAATAAAATAATATTATAATTAAATTTAATAAATTGTTATGAATTAATAGATTGTTTTCCAAATTCATCAATTTTATCACCCTAAAAAGTTCCTTAAGCAGGCATAATCATCAATCAACATTTCCTTACTAGATCAAACTTCAACAATTCAATGTTACAATACAAATAAAACAGTGAAGCCTAAATCTTGTTCCATCAAAAGTAGAAACAGCTACACGGATAAATCCATACAAAATAATGTTAATAACATTATGGCAAAGCAATTCATTCAACTTCTATAATATACAATAAAGTTCAATAGTGTGATACCAACTTTTCAATTTTATTAGACAGTACCAAGAGCATCATGGTTTATGAATTTATAATAATAATGTCCATAGATCAGTTGAAATGATCTTCATACATTTGAACAATATCTTATACAAAAGCAATTCCACAATTACAATATACAAAAAAAGGTGTTACATACAAAAGAAACTAGAAAACATTAAACATGATCTTACAACCAATTCATCTTCTACACAGCTTCAGTCTATATACCAGGTGTATTGTATTTCTGATCCTGGCGCCGCTGATTCTTGCATGAGGCTTTTATACTATGATTTGCTCTTCTTTTAAGCGTAAATGTACAGGTCTCTGATCGTTGTTTCCGAACTCCATATCTTTAAGCAAAGGATGCTTTTCTGGCACTCTAGCCTGTGGCTTTGATGGCATTGAATTGCTATTAGCTGTGCTGTGGCTGCTGTTTCTAGCAGCAGGGACATCGTGATTATGTTTTCCCTCGTATGTGGTTATGACAGCTTTTGGGTCTGTTGATGCTCTCTCAACGTGTTTGCGCACATTGCATCCTGCACTGGTGCATTTGTAATAACTCCTGTTCAGAAACTCAGCATCAGACTAATACAAAAAACTTGAAAACAAGGTACACACATATAAGCGCTTGTAGTATAAGCTCTTGACTTATAAGTTCTTATTTATAAATTATTTTCATAAGCTACAAGTTGGTTTTATAAAATATGAAAAAAGCTATGAATTTGTCATAAGTTGTTTCTTTAAACTTTCTCAAACAAGTCACAGCAATAGACAAACCACGTTCGCAAGGATGTTACAGAATCGGAGAACAAAATTTTAAGTCCGGAAGCTACTGGTCTTCCACAGTTGAAAATGATCAGACAAATATAATGTCATGAACAAATTAACCCAGATGCCTCAAAAACTGACCCGTGCTAAAAATCTGAAATGCTGATCAGCAGTAGAAATTCAGAATTATATCGATGTGCGCAAGGGGCACACAGAAGGTTATCCTGGATAAGAATACTAATGGAGTACAAAAAATTTCAAACTTAAAGGAGCATCCAGTGTGTGGAATGAAATGAACTCTTTTTACTCTTTTATAGTTCTACAAAAGAAATTAAAATTTATTAAGGTATAAGATGTCATTAAACATTATTCATTATAGAAAATATGACATTATTTGATCCATATCACCAATTCCAACTAGTGGGAAAAGATCGTACAAAATAATTCAAAACAACCATATGTACAAAAAAAAGTGTTAAAACATATTTTTAGTCCCTACAAAATCACTGACTTCCAAATTTAGTCCTATCAAATTTAGTTGAAATTTTAGTCCTCCATAATTGCAGTTTGTAAGAATAGTCTCTATTTAAAAAAAAAAACGTTTTATAAAAGCTTGTAATTTTGTAAGGACAAAATACAAATTTAACTCCAAAATAAATTGTTAAGAAAAATTTCATGTAGAAAGCTTGTAAAGAAAGGGTGGTCGGGTTATCAGGTTAAAATGAAGAACTTCTTCCAATTTTTATTTTCAATTATTGAATCTTAACATTTGCATTCATACTTCAAGACCTAATTATATTAAGATTCAAAGTTCAAAGAATTTGAATTTCAGAGAAATGAGAACCTAAGATGCATTTAAATTGAAAAAAAAAATTATGGCTTTTAAAAAGAAACATAGAATAGAAGCATAGAAGAATAATTAAAGCAATCACCTTGGATGAGGATTTCCCTTCACCACTTTCTGACCATACTTTCTCCATCTGTAGCCATCATCTAAAAGATCAACTTCACTTCTTGTTTGCACAATGATTTTGGGTTCTGTGACAGTCTTCTGAGATGCAGGTGCTTCAGGAACCACCGCTTCAATGCTCCTGAAAGACAGATTTGGCATATATCGTGAAGAATTAGAAATAAGCGTAACTGAGTTTGATTCCTTGAGTTTCCCATTTGCAACGCAGTCCAACCCCATGTGAAACAAAGCGGATTATCTTTCTGCCAATCCACAGATTAGTCCCGAAGATCCTAAGCCATGGGGCGTCTACCGAGGATCAAAAATTAAATAAGGTAACTGAATGGCAAAGAATTAACATAGAAAAACTTGCCTTCTCTTTGGGTTTGGCCCAGAGTCGCCTCCCTCTTCCTTATTGTCTGCATCATCCACTTCCACAATTTCACATGATCCCGGTAGTGGCCTAGAAGCCCCTTGATTGGATATTAGGTCACTTTCAGGCACCGAACAATCACGTAGACTTTCACTAGTTTTGTTTGAATTTCCAAACCAACCTTGTGAGTTTGAGTTAGTTTGAACGTTCGCATTTCCATTCACATCACTATTTTCTTTGACACGCCTATTTACCTGAGGCTTCTCATGATTATGCTGGCCTTTATAGATAATTTCAGTTATGTGACCGTCAGGGGCACGCTCAACTTTTTTCTTCACGGGACAATTCAGATGCGTGCATTTGTAGTAGCTCCGCGGATATTCACTCCCCTTAACCTGCTTCTGTCCATACTTGCGCCAGTTGTAGCCATCATCTGCAGGTTTGTCAATCGGTAGGGAAGGTGGTTGATATTTCTTATCAGAATGTGTAACCTCGGACGTTTCCATTTGAGCATTTCTAGATTCTGATACTGGTGCTGCCACTTGCTGCTCCGAAGCTTCATTTCGAGTAAAAGACGGCTGCTCTACCATTTGTTCGGTGGGAGGTTCTAATGAGACCAGCTGATATTCAGGTTGCATTTGCATATTATGAGATTGTGCTAGGACAGCTTGAGCTGTAACCTGTGCTAAAGCCTGTTGGTGTGACATCCCAAAGGGGCTCTGTATACAATAAATTGAAGAGCTAGTGAAAACCTCGCACGAGTGTGTAATAAGTATTCAAGCAATTGGGGAAAGCTCGCTCAAGCCACTTAAATACTTCATCTAGCATCTCATGCCACTCAACGTGAGCATAATACCCAAACACATAGTATTTATAAAATCAAAACAGCATCATGACTCATAAACAAGTAAAATGGTAAGGCAAAATCAACCATTCTTAGAAGACAAGTAAACGCAGCCTTTGAGATTCTTAGTAAATAATGTAAGCTCGTAAAAGCTCTTCACTATGGAGTGTCTTGCAATTGCAAAAGACTGTATTCCAAATGCAAATTTCAGCTACAAATTTTATCTTCATTTTTCATTGTTACTAAACCACATCATCAAAACTACGACAAAAGAAAATCACTATAAACCAACCAAAACACATTTCACTTTACTCTAAATCATATATAGTAAACAAGTAGAATGGTAAGGCAAAATAACCATTCTTAGAAGACAAGTAAACGCAGCCTTTGAGATTCTTAGTAAATAATGTAAGCTCATAAAAGCTCTTCACTATGGAGTATCTTGCAATCGCAGAATTCTTTATTCTAAAATACAAATTTCAGCTACAAATTTTGTAAAAATGAGATTGAAACACCTATGAAGCACGGACACCAGAAACACAACACAGACACAGACACGTCGCCGCCAATAACTAATTGAAAAAATGAACAAATTAAGCGCAACCACAAGTGTCTCTATTGGTTTCAGACACCGACCATGACACACCATTTCGGAGGTGTTGGTGTTACAAAGCCAAACATTCTAGCGTCATCAATCCCTTAAAAAACACAAATTTCAGCAACAAATTTCAATCCCTTAAAAGACACAAATTTCAGCTTCAAATTTTATTTTCACTTTTCATTGTTACTAAACCACCCCATCAAAATTACCACAAAAGAAAATCACTATAAAGCAAACAAAACACATTTCACTTAACTCTAAATCATATATAACATATTTATAAAAATGAGATCCAAACACCTATGAAGCACGGACATCAATGCCGGTAATTATATGAAGCACGGACACCGGAACACGACACCGTCATTGACACGTCAGTAATTAAATGAAGTAAGGGCACGGACACAGACACTCTTTTTTCCGAGCCAAACACTCTAGCTTCATGAATCCCTTAAAAACACCAAACTAAGAGAGGACTAGAGCATCAATCCCCTTATATACAACAGAACAAATTACAATTATACTAAATCTAAAACACAACAGCATAACAAAATTCAGATCAAATTTCAATAATTGTGTATCACATCTAACTTCATACAAAAACAAAGACAAATTTCACACTTTTCAAACTCCAATTTCCCATTTCAATCACACAAAAAAAAAATCAAATCTCACTCTTCCAAAACAATCCAAAAAAAACAAAATCCCTTTTCAAAAATTGATCAATTAGGTCAATTACCTGTGGAGAAAAGAATCCAGGCGAATTCAGAAACCCGGAAGGACTCAAACCAGGCGGAATAGTAAAAACCGGCGACCGCGCAACAATCAAGTTCATCGGTCGACTCTGTTTAAACCCCGAGTTCCTATTCACCACATCATCTTCCTTAACAAAGTAATTCTCCGTGGCGGCGGAGGAGTACGCAAGCGGAGAAGCCATAGCTCCGGCGAGAAGCTGAGAGAAAGTGGCGGATTCAGTAGCGAAGAAGCTTGAAACCAGTGTCATCGGTCCTGGACTAGCGGCACCAGCGAAGAATGCTTCGACGGAAGGACGAGGCGGGAGCGTGATGGTGGGACGTGTTGGCGGGGACGCCGTGTCGGTGTCGGAGGGATTGGCGGTGGACATATTTTGCGGCGGTTGTTGGTTGGTGAAAAAATAAAGAGAAAAAGAAAAATAGAAGAAAATGATGAGATTTTTTAGTTTCGTGTGTGTTTGTGTAATCAGTACACAAAGTCCACTTCTTAGCTTCTTTCTAATAATTGTGCAAATTATCTATAAATAAATAATAAATAATATTATATTTAAATTGTACATTAGTTTATAAAAAATTAATAAATTTTCATTTTAATAATAAAATTGATATCTATAAATCTAAAATTTAGATTTGGTGCAGTCTTTTTTTCTTTCTAAATATATTTTTTTAATTTTTATTTTAAATTATAATTTTTTTTAACAAATAATATTTATATAACAGTTTATTATATTTCATACTATTATCTTTTACTATTTTATAAATAATTTAAAATTCTCAACTTTTGTTGTCAGTTAATGTTTGACAGTTTTCAAATTTTCATTTCCCAGCTTTTATTACAAAGATATTATTCATCTTTTTTTATAATTAGATTTTGAAAAGACTTGACTGTTTTTTTCTTCAGCATTAGACTTTTGTCTGACATCAGTTTTCACAAAAATAAATATTATTCATTTATAATTTTTATATTTTTTATAGATTTTAATTTTATTAAATGATTATCTGAAATTGATTGTTTTTGCAAGTTGCATATTAAGGGTAACCAATTAGAAAGAGAGAGCAGTTGAGAAAGACCGGCAATTAAAGCTAGTAGTAAATGGAGAACCACCCAATCTCAATTCTCTAAAATCCAAAAAAAATCTTTCTTCTTTCAACTTGTCATCAAAATCTTTCTTCTTCTAGTATAACATTTTTTTTGTTTTTTTCTAAATCAGATTTGTTTCCTTGCACAAAGAGAATTAAGTGTATCAGAAACATAATCTTTTAAAATTAAATAATAAATAACAAATAAAAAAAATAAAAAAAATTAATGTTTATCGATAATGTAAAAGTATATACTATAATTTAAAATAAATATTTTTCTATTACAATGACACATAATTTATAAAATAATTATTATATTAAGAGATAACGTTTTAAATTGTCTTAAAAGTTTATGTAGGTTCATAATTTTAAAATAAATTTAAATCGAATAAAGTTTTAGAATGAATTGAACTTTCGAATCTAAGATTTAAAATCTAAATTTTTTTAAAATTAAAGTGTCATGTCCTAATTTTAACCTTGAATCATTGAATCAATATAATTATCAATAATTTAACATTATCTGCATAGCATAACATAATATGTATTTCGTCTCACATAATATTCAAAATGTCAATCAGAATAAATTTTCGGATCTACAGACAGACCGCTCAAACTGATTCTCAACTATGCATAAAATTAGCGGACAGAAAATTTTAAAATCAAGTTTATAGACATCGGTTTTTTAATTTGTGGTTCGCGTAGTTTAACTCGACGTGCTCGTTTTAGTTTTTCGACTACTTTTTCATTTGCATTTTTATCAGTCTGAGCATTTTAATTGATCATTTTTTATTAAAAAAATTGATCAAAACCTGGATATTTCTGATAAGTTTATTTTACCTTGATCATTTTGGTGCGTTCAGTTTTATTTTTTCGACCATTTTTGCGCCCGACTTTTATTCGTGTTTAGTCATTTTATTTTTATTTTTTAGTCAAAATGTTCACAAAAAATAATTAGAATTAATGGTAGATTCAATTTGATTTTATTTATATCTTGTTTTAATGTTTCAATTTAATTTCAAAATTCATTTTTATTCACAAAAATAGCACAAAGGGTGTTGTTGTCATTGTTTTTAAAAAAATTGAAAACCCCTAACCAATCTTCACGCATGCCATTTGGAGACACTAAAAATGGACTAACATAATGCCAAAAACAAAAAGAGAGAAAAAAATCCATACACTAAAAAAGAAGAAATCTTCATCTCTTCATGATACCATGTACTCCAATTAGGGATGGTAAAACGGAACGTGGCCCGCCGAGTCGGTCCGGCACCCGCAAAAAAACGGCGGATTGGTTTGGTATTTTGTGCCCGCCTACCAACTTAGTCTGCCCCATTTTAATCTACCCCACCTTAAGCCCGCCAAAAAAATGGATGGTTGGTCCGCCAAAAAAGGGGGCGGATTGAAGGTTAATACTTAAAATATAATTTTGAAATACTTGTTGATGATTCTATTTTATACATTTATTCGTGAATATATACAATATTTTTTTAGGTGGAATTTGTTAAAAAGAAGTTTTATAAAAAATTATTTTAAAAAATAAGTGAAAATCTAATTGAAATGTAAAAATAAGCCTATAATTCTATTAAAATTTGATAAATAAATAGACAGGCAAGCACGCCGCCCGCCAACCTGACACCTTGGCGGGGCATGCTAGACTTTTAAGCCCAATTTCACTTGGCGGACTTGCTTGCTCCACCCCTTTTTGGTGAGCTTAAAGCGGAGTAAGGCGTGTGTCGCTGTGAGAATCGGAGACCATAGCTATTGAGTTAGCTATGCTTCACAAATATTAAGATATCACTATCGATCTTTAATTTATTCAAAGGAATGAGTAAAGAAGGAATAACCCATAAATATACAATGCCAATAAGAGATCTAAGATTCGAGGGTTGGTTATACTAAGGGAAGGTATTAGCACCCTACGTATCTATAGTATCCTATAGGAACCTCTTGTTGAATTTTGTGTTATAGTTAAGTTGTTTGCTAATTGGGATTGATTTATGAGATGAGATGAGAAATGTTTTTTTTATTGTTTTTGTGTTTGGCAAAACACAAAGTTTTGTGCCTACGTACCATTAAAGGATCAAAACCTCGTAGTTCGGGGTAAAAATTGAAAAGAGTTTGTTAAGATGGATTTTATTGAAGATGAGACAAGTTGTCATCTTAAGGAGAATACTTATCTTAACCACCACAAACATGTGGAAAAGGGATATTTGCTTTACACAGAGAGAAGGGCTCCAACTTGGATATATGATCAACAAGTATGTCACATACCTCTCTCAAGTGGAAAAGAATCAACTTCTTTCTCAACAATGTCATAGGTTAAGAGATTTATATCTCAACTAAGGATGACTAATGTTTAATCTATTTTGAAAATGTTTTAAATTAAAAAGCCAAAGTGGCAAAAGGTTTGAATTGAAGTTTATGTCTTATAGTCTTTGTGAATGAGTTTTGAATATGCTTAAGATGTCTTTAAGCATTTGTTAAGAAAAATGAATTTGAAAAGATCAATGACATAAAGTCAATATTTTTATTGAAAGTGGTTTTGAGTTTAAGAGGGGAAACCCTAATTTGAGTTGTCTAAGTTGTAACATCCTAGGGGAAAACTTCCTAAGGGATAGAAAGTCAAAGATTACAAGTCATAAGATACATGTATAAGAAAAGAAAAAATGCATATGCAAATGGCAATGATGTCAACAATGAGTCCCTCCCTTGGATTTGAATAACAATAATTGATCACATAAACATGCATAAATTGATAAACATCATGAAAAAAAATATTAACATGATTTTAGGCATTGAGATATGGTGAACATAAACAAGACATGAAAAAGACTTACATAACATCACAAGAAATAACTCATGAACAAACATAAGGCAAGAGACATGCTTAACATTATGGAAGTTTATGAAGGAAATAATTGAAAAAAAATGATCAAAGATAAAATCAAATGAAACATTACAAACAAGTTTAAATAAGTAAGCCTCCAAATAAGAAAGTTATGAGTCTGGAAAGTAAGCCAAAAATCATGGAATTTTCATAACTTAGAAACAGTCAAGAAACCCTAATTTTTTAAATCATGATATTTGGATGTTTTCTTTGATTTTCTTTCTTGATTATGATCCAATTCACATACTCTCATGTTCCTTGACTTGTGGAGTCCTTGTTTGACCAAAAATCTCAAAATTCAAACTTGGTTTTGATCACAGTTGACTTTTCATCAAATGAACTTGAATTCTTCCATTGCTTATGAATTAATCATATCATATGAATGGAATAATATGATGCATTTGATGTATTTGAAACATATCTTAGGGTGTTGGATCATTCCTAGATTAAAAAGTCAACCCCAGACTGAATTAGATCAAAACCCTAATTTGGACACATCTGATGACTTGAGACTTATTGATCTTGATTCAATACAATCTTGCACTTGATTATTGATGTAAGAGGACTCTTGATCATGTTGACTAAATTAAGGCTTGAGAGGTTAGGTAATCCTTTGATTGGTCCAATTCTTGATCTTCTTGACACCAAAACCCCAGTTTATGATCAGAGCAAACCAAAGCACATACTCTTGGATTCAAAAAAAGGTTAGCAATGCATAAAACACATACGCATTAGGTGATTGATGTTATGCCAAAATAATGCAAATGAGGTGGAATCTTGGAATGATGTTGATTCATGAAATTTTACATTTTTATAGGTGGTAACCAATTACCATCAAAGCGTAATTGATTACCATTATTCCAACATTTAAATTTTCAAACAGAATGAAACTGGTAACTGATTACCATTGCTTTAAAAGTGAAATATCAGCTTTTCATGGCATTTCTTGAAAGTTTTAATGCATATTGTTTTAAGAAATTTAGTGATGAATATGTATATGATATTCTGAGCATCTTAAGTAATATAAACGAGATTGTGATGGTACCTTAAACATGATCCATTAGCTTGATTCTTATTTTAATATTTTCTTCTTTGTTCATCATTGTTTTCATCAATCTTAATCAGGATCAAACATCATGATTCATCACTTGATTAAACTTTATAATTGGTGAGAATTCATCATGTGTATTCTTAAGTTTTTTCTTCTTTGATAGTCTTCATCAATCTTTGTCTTCACCAAAGCTACATTAGATAGAGCATGAATATCTGCTTCACAATTATTATGAGTTCTTATGTGTTTCTCACTGCAAATCTTCTAACGAAATATGGGACACCCTTCAAATTACCCATGAAGGTACAATTGAGATAAAAAGGAAAAGGATGAATATATTAAGTCATGAATAT